GGGACGCCGAGCGGCGCAGGCCGGAAGAAGCCGATCAGCAGCAACAAGTCGTCCCTGTCCCGCGTGAAAAAGGCCGGAAGCCGCAACTCTCCAGCCTCGACGGCAGATAGTGAGCTATCGGATGCTGAGAGTGGAAGCGGCGACGACGGCGACCACAGGAGCCGCGCAGACCGTACGAGTGGTACCCCCGCGCGCGACGGCAAGGACGGCGAAGGCGACGACAGCATGCTCGACGCCGAGGATGACGAGGCTGGCGACGACAAGAAATACTGCACGTGCCAGAATGTCAGCTTCGGCGACATGGTGGCGTGCGACAATGAGGATTGCCCCTACGAGTGGTTCCACTGGTCGTGCGTCGGCCTCAAGAGCGAGCCGAACGGGACGTGGTACTGCCCCGTTTGTACGGAGAACATGGAAAAGCAGAAGAAGAAATAAGGCATCGTACCTTACTGGGAAGATAACGAGACGGCGGTGTGATTCGAGCGTTTATACCCCTTCTTTGGAGGTTCAGGTGGGCGGCGTTTGGTAGCTTGATTATTAGGGCGAGGGTCCTCGTGAACGAGAGATCCCATCACCGAGGAAGGACCAGGCGTTTTTTTGGGCGAGATCAATGTCACAGCTGGCGTAATACACGCACGGAAACCGAAATAGACACAATCTTCCTTCTTCACAACCGTCTATCGTATACTCTGACTCCTTGCGATGAGAGTCAAGGTAGAAAAAAAAAGACAAGTAACAGTAAACTAGAACTTGAGCTATGCACCACACGTAACTTCATTGGCGAGCTGGATCATGCAGAATACTATAAATGTCACGTCCAATGTGCCGGCGTGTCGGGACTGGCAAGGAGCTAACAAACAGGATGCTGGTGAACGCAAGACTTGCCACCTTATTACCATTACTATCATTGTCATCACCATACTGCGCTTTCTAAACCGTATTATGTGAGAAATATATAGAACACGGGAAGTAATCGCCGAAGCAGTATCGAGCGGCAAACAATTGTGTCACCCACTTGACTGGATGTGTTGTCTATATTTGTTTAAAGACTGCGGGGCTAAGTTTAACGCACAAGAGCCCAGGAAAGGTGTTAAGCAGCGTGTATCTGCAAGTCTCAAGGCCTTTCTCGAACCGTTGACAATGAACACTACCGCTTTTTCCGTATTCTTTATTCGGAAAACCATGGGTACAGGCATTACCTCAAAGACTACGTCGAGGCTCAATAGAACCTCGAAGGCGGTGATAGCGAGCCAATGGCAGACCAACTCCTCGATACGCTTTTAGCTACATTGTGGCCGATTGTCTTGTATTCTACCCCAGCATAATAGCGATTTCTGTACGATTACTCTGACACACGTACAGGCCGCAACGTTCATCAGTCTTCAAAGTCGCCGCTGTTGTGCTTTGCTGCTTCCCGGTCATCCACCCACTGCGTCCTATGGGGGTTCAACTTCTGGGCGTCGTGGTGTGGTCTGGGCTTCCTCCCCTTCCCCCCACGTGGGACGCATCGGAGAGCCTCATTTGATGGGGCGGCCTTGTCTGCGATCCAGTCCAAGTGCAGATACGGACTGAGGCTTCCCGTCCGCCGCCTGTTTCTATTTGGGGTTACGGCCCCTGGTGATGACATTTGGCTCATTGTTTCGTTTCATTACTTCACTAACCACCCCGGTGGAGGTTAATCAGCGCAACCTGGAATTTGCAACATATTGCTTATTAGACAAGGATGAGCATGGGCAAAAGAGTTCGAGATCCGGGTGAAGAATGCCATTATTGAAAATGGCGTCAAAAAGCGCAAATTGCGCTTACATAACATGTTGAAAGACATATGTGAGAACAGGGGTCTTTCGCGTGACAGCCGACGGCGTCGTGTCTGATCAGGCTGAATGGACGCCTGCGAGTTTGGCTTGCCGGGCTGAAAGAGTTAGTACAAGATAGTAGAGTCCGGGCGATGGCCGACAACACGTCAAAGTCTCCTTAGCTCCCTTTCATCGTGAATGGGCCACCGCCACAGATGAGATGATCGCGTCGGAAAGGGATTCTGTATCCGTGTTCTGCGAGATATCCGTCTTGGACAATCCGGCCCACAGGGTAGCAGTATGTAATCAAACTTCCGACCAGGCGGGATGGGTTTTGATGGATCCCTCCCCTTTGAGCCGGTTGGGAACTGACTAAAACGAGAAGCCAAGTGGGAATTGGCCCGCCCGGGGCGCAGATGCCGGCATTCAGGGGTTGTGTGTTTTATTTTCGGTTCAACGAACATTATCAGAAACCTGATGGTTGGATCATTTGGGAATTTGAAGAGCGATTATTCGGGAAAGGTTCCGAAGAAGGCCGGCTTGGCTACAAAATCGGCTCCGGTTGTGATGAAGACTGGGGACCAGAAGGTAAATGGCACGGCGATTCTTGCTTGATACTGAGGCGGAAAGCCGGCTGCTTGAAGAAAAGGGCGCCGAGTTAAGCACTTTTGGTCCCGATCAATTTAGCGAAGTCGGGAAGTTCAGGGTGGTGGCAACTCCTATTGTTGAGCGATGGGCGATGAGGTGTGTGAAGCGTAGGCGAGTCCGGCCATTGAGCGTTCAGCTCGGCCGACTATCTTTGACGAATAGCGCCATTGATGAAGGGACGTCGGCGAGAAAAGGCGGACACCGCACCGCTTGGTCCTCCTTTGAGATGGGCTCTCAGCCTTGCTCAGTTTTTAAACAAAAAACATGAAAGAAGGTGCGCGTCAAAGTCTTTGTGGCCACGAGTAGGTCCGACGAACTTGGAAGCTATTGCAATGCGAGCAGCACACCGTAACGTTTCCCCAGGCGGGGGGCGGGTTCTCTGAGGTAAAGTAGGTGAAGAAATGGGTACATCAGGTGTCGTGTCCCGCCTTATTGCAGACAAGGACTCCGCAAAGTGGTTGGGATTTTAGGGGGAATATGGTTGGAAGTACAGTGGGAGGGCAGGTCCAGCTCATCTTACAGCTGGCGAGGATGTTGGTTGGTGGGGGTGTGATATTTCAGGATATCCATTCAAGACGAGCGACTTGGTCGCGGAGACGGTTTGACTCCGCAGTGAATGGAGACTCGCACCTTTTTTAGTGCATGCATCGCCGGGAGGTACTTGTTCGGACGGCTGTTCCGTGAAGCAGCGTGTGGGCGGCCGTGGCCGCGGACTGTTGCTGGAACCTGAGATGAGGTTGGAGATGGTGAATGGGGACCCCGAAGGACAGAACTTCATTTCTGCCCGGACGGAAGACGTTGACGGTTGACCAGCATCGTGGCTCAGATACTGGTCCTATATGTCTGAGCATTGGCCTTCCCGGTGTCGTCTCTGGCTTTTCCTGGAGTATGTAGATTGGATGAAGTGGGATGGTTGGTCGCAGCGCCTTGCAGATTTGGCCGTTATCCGCACCCTTTGATGATCTGCATCTCCGTATCTGTTTGTGTACCCCCGATTCTTGATAAAAACAACGACGTGCTTCCGGAGACTGCTGTTGTTATTTTTTTTTCTCGCTCTCTCCGCGCCTCCTTCTTTGCCACTTATGCGAGCCAGCTACAGCTGCAGCCGCCGCTTCTCTCGTTTAGGCGTCACTAGTCTGAAGCGCCACAGGGGTGCTGAGAAAGCCGTGGCCAGGCCAAAGGTCAGTGGGTTGCAGTCGAGGAAAGGTGGACTGGAATGGCTTGGGTGGGCGATATCAGGTACGGAGCATTAGCTTCGGGTACTGGTTAGGTAGGTTGGGAAATGTTTTGGGTCTCGAAGCTTGCTTTGATTGTTCTCCTGTCTGTCCTCATATCGGAGACGAGTACGAGCAAACGAGCATTGAGTCAGAAGGAAAAGAGGAGAAAGAAAAAAAGGCAATGCCAATGTGACTAGAAGGCGTGCTGTGCTGTGTGGTGAATGATGTACGGATATCGCAAAATAAAAACAAGCCAGCACAAGTTGAGGTGTGAAGGCAAGGTTGGATGAGGTACATAAGGTAGTACTCAGTAAGGTACCTTAAGGTAAGGTAGGTAGAGGAGGGGTGGAAGGCACAAAGTACGTACCTACTTCGTATATGGCATCGGGTTCGAGAAGGAGGTGAGGAAGGAACCTGGAAGGCAAGGTTATTGACGGTGACTGCCCATCTCAGCACCCAGCATTTCGACCTCAGGTGTGTCGACCATTGGGTGTCTCCAGTGACAGGCGCCCCTCCCCGTGCGTGGCTGTCTCCTCCTCGAACGGGGGGAACGAGATAAAATGAAAATTGGCAAATGCGAATCGACTGGGTTCCCACAGTGATATCACCGCTATAAAGCCAAATGCCCGGCCGCCTCCTGCCTGTTTCAGATTCCTTTTGACGGCTCTCCTTTTTTTTACCTATTCTATTCCTCTTCCTCCCCTCTCCATCCCAACTAGATCCTCGACCACATTCGCTCGTTGCTGTTGCTATTGCTGTAAGTACCTCACCTGGACTCCCATCCCCAATTGCCCGCCACCTGCTTCCCCTCCAACCCTTCTTCACCCCAAAGTACCGCCGATCACCGCAACCGCACTCTATCTGCTCCAAACAAGCAGATTGCAGTTCTGATCTTGCTTCCGAAGCACCTCACTTTGCCTCTCTCTACCAATTTCGCCGTCTTGGTACCTCCCCCGCCCTTCCCCCCAGCTCTCGTTCACGGCGGGAGTACCTTGCTTTCCCTCCGCCGACCTGCCTCATTCCACACCTTGCTTTATTTTTCCTCTCCCATATCACATGGAGAAGCTCACAAATTACGTCAGGCTACACAGAACACTTTGAGCTACCAGCAATCTTTTTCGCCGCAAATCCAACGGCGAATCCCCTGTCAATGTAGGCACTACCCCGCCGTCCTCGAAATCACCGCTTGTTTTTCCCTCTCCTTTTCCACACCGTCCCTTCTACACCTACAAAAAAAATACGATACACTAGAATTTCGCTCTTTGCTCCGGTACAATCCATTGACATTTTCTCAGCATATTCAGCTTCACACCGCGAATCGCGTCAAATATCCTTCACAATGGCTCAAGCGATCAAGAGCGCTCTTCCCACCCACCTCAAGTCCCCCCTCGGCGGCCAGGGCAAGAGCGATGAGGAGTTCAGCTCCCGTCACCACGGCAAGACGAGATCCCACATGGTACATACTCTATCCACCCTTTTCTTTCAGTGCACCTTTGAGCGAGGCATGTCGAGGACCGCGACCGGTGCCTGCTTTGTCCCGAGACAGACAGAACACGGCCTTGTGCAGTTCAAGAACCGCCATACCTGCTAGCTTGTGTCACTTCTTCCATGCCGAATACCTGAGATGTCGTACGACGCTTGGCTACTTGCTTTACCTTGACGGCCGCGGCTGGGCCAGTCCCAAACGGCACGGTACAGCATCGTCAATGCGTGAGACGCCAAATACCTCCAAAGACATTTGCTGGCTTGACACGGTTGAAGGAGACAACCTGGGCGGTACGGTGTGCGCTGTTCTCTCCCCGGCAACAAGCTCTACGATGCCTGTCAGGGGTAGCAGCAAGCTGGCCACATTGGTCGCAGGGCCCCGCAGCGGATCACTCGACGATAGCTTCAAAGCATTCCCCACTTTGAGAAGCTTCCATTGCAGGACTTAGTCCCTTCTTCGTGAATGCGCGGCTGACTTCAAGTCCAGGCTTTCGAGAACACTTCCACCAGCGTTGCTGCTGCCCAGATGCGCAATGCCCTCACCCAGCTTTCTGAGACCGTCACCGACCCCGAGCAGAAGAAGGTAAGCAGAAAAATCCACCCCAGCTGTAATCTTGGGAACACGAGTTCTAATCATCTTACAGCTGTTCGAGACGGAGATGGACAACTTCTTCGCCCTCTTCCGTCGCTACCTGAACGACAAGGCCAAGGGCAACGCCGTGTAAGTGTACAACAGGAACCTGCGATACAAATAGCCTTCCAGCTAACAGTGTGATAGCGACTGGGACCGTATTGCTCCCCCCGCCCAGGGCCAGGTTGTTGACTACGAGGACCTCGCCAACTCCGAGTCCGTTCAGTTCCTCAACAAGCTTGCCGTCCTGAAGCTCAACGGTGGTCTCGGTACCTCCATGGGCTGTGTCGGCCCCAAGTCAGTCATCGAGGTCCGTGACGGCATGTCCTTCCTCGACCTGTCTGTCCGCCAGATCGAGTACCTCAACCGCACTTACGATGTCAACGTGCCCTTCATCCTCATGAACTCATTCAACACCGATGAGGACACCGCTTCCATCATCAAGAAGTACGAGGGCCACAACGTCGACATCCTCACCTTCAACCAGTCCAGATACCCCAGAATCCTGAAGGACTCTCTCCTTCCCGTCCCTAAGAAGACCGACTCTTCTATTAACGACTGGTACCCCCCTGGTCACGGTGACGTTTTCGAGTCGCTTTACAACTCTGGTATTCTCGACAAGCTCATTGAGCGCGGTATTGAGGTTGTCTTCCTGTCCAACGTTGACAACTTGGGTGCCGTTGTCGATCTCCGTATCCTCCAGCACATGGTTGAGACTGAGTCTGAGTACATCATGGAGTTGACCAACAAGACCAAGGCCGACGTCAAGGGTGGTACCATCATCGACTACGAGGGATCCGTCCGTCTTCTCGAGATCGCCCAGGTCCCCAAGGAGCACGTCAACGAGTTCAAGTCCATTAAGAAGTTCAAGTACTTCAACACCAACAACATCTGGCTGAACCTCAAGGCCATCAAGCGCGTCGTCGAGAACGATGAGCTTGAGATGGAGATCATTCCCAACGGAAAGACCATCCCTGGTGACAAGAAGGGCGAGTCTGACATCTCCATTATCCAGCTGGAGACCGCTGTCGGTGCTGCCATCCGTCACTTCAAGAACGCCCACGGTGTCAACGTTCCCCGTCGTCGCTTCTTGCCCGTCAAGACCTGCTCTGACCTGATGCTCGTCAAGTCTGATCTCTACACCGTCAAGCACGGCCAGCTCCAAATGAGCTCCAGCCGCTTCGGTGACGCTCCTCTCATCAAGTTGGGTAGCGACTTCAAGAAGGTCTCTGACTTCCAGAAGCACATCCCCTCTATCCCTAAGATCATCGAGTTGGACCACCTTACCATCACTGGTGCCGTCAACCTCGGCCGTGGCGTCACACTCAAGGGTACCGTCATCATTGTTGCGACGGAAGGCAGCACTATTGATGTGCCTCCTGGATCCATCCTCGAGAACGTCGTTGTGCAGGGTAGCTTGCGCCTGCTTGAGCACTAAGTGGCTTTTTTGCAGGTTTTGTATTTTGAGCACATTCCAGTCAGATGTCACAATGCATTGAGAATCATCACAAGAAGACAATCTGGAGGCGAGATGGAACAGTAGAGAGAAACCAATGATCATTCCCCCCAAAAAGGCGGCGTCTGCATAAGGTATCTGTGGCAGCGGCAGAACAAACTCGATAGTATTTTAATAAGGCACCTCAAACCATGCGTGTGCATTTCGTTGACCTCCACTTGCACTTGCATTGGCTATGTCCCCGTCTGAACCCTGTGAATTGCCGTGGATTTTGGCATGGTCCATCGAGGACCGTTTGTGTGTGACGTCTGCGGTCTGCCGGTAGCTTGGACCTGCATTTCCGTGTGGAGTGGTCCAGAACCGACTAGCAACGAGTAGCGGTGAGACAAAGAAAAAGAAATCTGAAAAGGCAACATGAGAAGCACAACAAAAACAAAAATTGAGGTGAACAATGCGCGCGGTTACATGCCTGTCCTTACTCCGGACACCACAGCGGGCGGGCGCAATCCGGGGGGTAAGGTAGGGGAGGGGGGTCTCGACGTGGGATGCTGCCGCCGGATGCATGGTTTTGGTGGGCTGCCGGTTTCCGACTGATAGTCTACGCCTCCATGCATTTCTTTCTTGCTTCATGGAATAGCAGCAACATTTTGCATTTTGTAGGCAAGAACGGGTTCACCGAAAGCAAGATTTGTTAGGTTTTTGATGCGGGCATATTGGCACTCCGTTTTACGGGCAACAAGAGGCTAAATAGTGCGGGCCACCCCCCTATATGGTAAAGAGGTCTTATTCGCCGTCTTGTCCTTTGACAACCGTGGACAGCCCTGCAAGCGTCCAGATCGCCGTTCTCTCTTAGCTTCGTGGACTACTTCCCCTTTCTCGGTGACAACGACATCCATCCTCTTTTTGCATTGAATACGAGATACACCACCTTGAAGTTACTCGACAGAACCCCTGACCTTGTCAATTGAGCCAGAAAAACACCTCCCACAACCAAACCACAAACCACAAACAACACAGAACACACGGAAATCATGGGCAGCCTCTCCGGCCCGGCAGCCACGGCGCTGCCGTACTGGCAAGTCAACGTCCCCACGGACCGCCGCACGGACGAGTGCCCGGAGGGCCTCCGCAACCTCTCGGCCAAGGACGTCGGGATCCTGAGCACGCCCGACGCGGCCTACAACCGGCAGACGTGGACGGAAGTCCGGCGGCTCGTCGAGACGAACCGTCTGGATCTGTTCCAGCGGGTGCCGAGCGAGCTGAGGCGGTACCGCCTGTTTATTCACCACCTGATCAAGGAGCATGGGAGTGTGATGAACTTTGTGCTGAGGCAGCGGCTTGGATGGGAGGAGCCGTTGAGGGCTACTGAGGGTAAGAGGCCGTTTGAGGCAGAGGGGGATTATAGGATTTTGTATAATGATTGGCCGTATGGAATCGATGGGCGGATTGTACATCTTGTTGTTTGGACAAAGTTTGAGCTAGAGGAGAATCCGGCTACGGGGGATTTGACAGAGAAAGCGAGGGAGGAGATTGATCGATTTGTGATGGGGACGTTTCGGGCGAGAACGGAGCCTGATACTGTGAGTTTTCATCCTCTCTTCTCCTCTGTCATGATTTGGCGGTGCCTATCTTCAGAACGGACCTGCAATATGGACTTGAGTGAAGCTGACGATGATGACTAGGTCATTTGGTTCAAGAACTGGCGGAGTCTCAAGTCCGTTCACGCGGTTGAGCATTTCCACGTCATGCTCTTTGACCCGGATCCCGCGTTCATTCGGGAGATTACCAATGGAGATGTGCCCCAATGTGACAAGTTTGAGGCATGAGTAGTAGGAAACTCGACAGGCCTACGGATCGGTGAAGGGGGGAGTTTGGGTGAGATTTCATGACGGCAAATGGCACAGATCAAGGGGGAGAGATGGCACGATAGCGAAAACTTTGTGAACTCTCTCACCGTCAACCTCGGTATAGCGAACAATGTTAGACTTAAGTTGATGTGGTTCTTTCTTTACGAAAACGATGAATTTGACTATGGCTTTGCCTGAGGCGGTTCTCTATACTCCACACACGAGGCCGCGGCCATGGTGATGGCAGTCGGCTTCTCCATGACGACCTTGATAGTCCAGTCTGCTGGATTGTTGAGAGGCTCATGAATATCTGATCGTTCTTGGTAGCACCGCCTGATCCCCGTAGTGATAGCGGGACCGAGGGCTTCAAGCGTCTCAAAGGAAGAGTCGCCCAGAATCTTTTGGTACCACGACTTGAGTCAGCAATGATCCATATATATGTAGACGGAGTGAAGAACTATCAAGACGGCGAATAAGAGGAAGAAGAAGTCACAAACCTTTACAACGAAAGACTCGATCTCGACGTAATTATCCGACCTTCCAATGTAGCCCTCGATCTCGATACTGACCACGACAACCTGCCTCGCTAGTCTCTCGTTGTCATTGACTCCGATGAGCGTAGGCACGCGCAGCTCGTTGATGCGTAGACTTGAGCTGTAGACCGCCCCTGCCTGGGTACCATTGCGGAAGCCATGGGCCAAAGAGTAAGACCGGCTCACGCTACTACCGAGCAGCGATGCCTTTGGTAGGGCGAGGGAGATATCCAGGTAGCGAATTCTGGGCAGCTTGTCCTTCAGGAATGCCGGCTCCGTGAGACCATCAGCCTCAGACCCGGAGACGTGGTACCCAGTCAACGCGTTCCAGATCATCTGCATGGCGTTTTCCAGGCTTAAATCGACCTCGTAGCGGTTCACGTTGTCCAGTATGCGGAGAAGCGCCTTGGCCAAGAGGCCATAGTGCACCGTGTCATCGCTGACCTTGTCCGCGAGTGAAGCGGCCTCAAAGGGCTCTGACATTGACAGCTCGGCGGAGACAACTACGGGCTGCGTCTTGCCCCCGCGGCCCCAGGCGTCGGTGCCGGCTTTGATCGTGCTATGAAGGTCGCGGACCCGGACCACCGCAAAAGGCTCGCCGGCCTCGGCGCGGACCTGCCACGACGAAACTCGTTTCGACTCCATGTGAGCAAAGGTGCAATTGATAATCAAACTCAATGAAAATTCGATTTCTTCGAGACCGGCCAAAATACACGGTTGGTTGGGCGGGATGAGGTGAAGGATGAACGGATTGGCGGCAGCTCAAGGTGAACGGGTCTCACAAACTTAGTATGCACTGGCTGAAGAAAGTGCCCTACATGACGACTACCTAAACAATCGCGGGGTCCACCACAACCATAAAATCACCCACATCATATGCGATGCTCTCATGTACATGAAGACAGTAGCAGGTACCAGTTGAATAGTTTTAAATGAAGGACTCGACAAGCGGAGATGTTCTCTTCTTTGTCCATTTTTATTACAATGCGTTATTTGTTTGAATCTTGCTGCCGAACCCAGCAATATACTCCCCCCCTCATCCATCCAGGATGGAATGGCAGGCGTTTATGCTACGTTGGCAATCGCCCTCATCAAGATATACACCTAAAGATCCAACCACTTGCGCAGATCCTCAGTATCACGGGAAGTCCATGCGATCTTGGCCTTGACCGAGTCGGTGGACTGCGACAAAGCACGCACGAAACCCTTCTTCTCCTTCTCCGCGAAGAACTTGTCGAGCTTATCCAGCTGTTCTTGCTTGGTAAGCCCGCTTGTGCAGTAGCTCACAATGCTGCCAATCATGGAAGATTGAGCAGGGAACTTGGTGTAGATCTCCTCCCATCTCGTTTGCAGCCAGTCAAACAGGGCCTCGATGCCGCCCTTGCTCGATCGCAGACTGCCGATCGGAATGTAAATATCTTGGTCACGAACCTCGCCGCTCAGCAAAAGATCCAGTGTGCGTTGGCGGAGCTTGGGGTCGCGGGATTGGCCAAGGGTTCGGAGAGCGCTGTTGCGCTCGTCGGCGGTCTCGGCGGTCTTGTAGTACTTGTACACGGCGTCATACTGTGATTTTAGTTAATGGCTTGCTTCAATGACATCTTCAAGGAACAGGCATACCTCTTTCTCGCCGCCAAACTTAAGAACAATTGAAAAGACGGAGCTTCGGATGTTGGGGTGAATCGCCGTCTTATCTCCAGCCGCGAACTTCTCGAACATGGCCCGAGCAGCAGCAACAACCTTCTCGTCACCAGACATACCGGCCGCACTAAAAGTGAGAGCCTTGTACTGTTGCTCAACGTGGCCATCGTTGCTCGAAAACTCCCATCCTAGCTTGTGTGCGATACTGCTGACAATTTCCCGCTGGAACTCGGTGAGCTTGTCAACGACAGCGTCATCCTCGATCCAGGCCATCTTGATTGAGCCCAGACGGGTGAGGATCTGGTCCCACACCAGGTACTCGGCCTCGCCTCCCTGGCTAAGAGCCTTGAACAGACTCAAAAGAGACGAGGTCTTCTGGTAGCCAGAGGTTGCGAGAGCAGCCGTGTCAGCCACAATACCAACTCTGTCCTGGACGGAAAGGAGTTCCGCAGCGTTTCCAAGCTTCTCCAGACGATCAATAGCGTACTTGGTACGGTAGAATCCCGTAGAATCGGCGTTGATCTTGAAGAACTCGGCATCGTCAATCTCGAATTTGGTGTCACGAGTAGTGAGCATCAAGTCCTTGTCGACACCCCCCTTCGTACGGACGTTCAAAGAGATGGGGTAGAGAACCTTGTCTTCATCGGGCTTTACGTCTCCTGTGGTCAGGAAGCGATGCTGCTCCACGCTAATTGACTTGCCTGACTCGGTGACAGAGACGACGGGGTATCCCACGTTCTGGGTCCAAATGTTCATGATGGAGCCAACGTCCTTGCCGCTTGCCTCGCTCAAGGCTTGCCACAGGTCATTCGTAGTGGCATTGCCCCAAGCGTGACGCTTAAGGTACTTGCGGACACCCTCCATGAATACATCCTCTCCAAGGAATGCCGAAAGCATGTGGACAACACAAGAGCCCTTCGCGTAGCTGATACTATCGAAGATCTCGTTGATCTCCTCGGCCTTGTGGATGGGGACCTCGATAGGGTGACTGCTCCTGAGTCCGTCGAGACCCAATGCTGCCTGAAGATCTTCCCTGACGAAAGACTCCTTGAGCTTCCACTCGGGGAAGAAGGCGTTCATGGAATAGCGAGACGCAAACTCGGCGAAGCCCTCGTTGAGCCACAGAGCGTGCCACCAGTCCGGAGACACAATATTTCCGAACCACTGGTGAGCAATCTCGTGAGTGATGACTGTCGAAACTCGCTCCTTGGCTGCGGCACCACTGGTCTTGTCGTCAAACAAGACTTCAACAGTACGGTAGGTGACCAGACCCCAGTTTTCCATAGCGCCAGCGGCGAAATCGGGAATGGCAACCTGGTCAAGCTTAGGCAGAGGGTAAGGAAGACCAAAGGCCTTTTCGTAGAACTCCAAGGCCTTGACACCGATATCCAAGGCATAACGGCCTCTCTCGATGTCCTCGGAAGGCGGAGCATACACTCGGATGGGTACTCTGAAGTCGTTGGTCTCAATGTAATTAAGCTCTCCGACGATGAAGGCAACGAGGTAGGTGGACATGACAGGAGACCTGTTGAAGCTGACAGCCTTCTTTCCAGAGGGCAAATCTTTCTCTTCAGCCACATCCATATTGGAAAGGCAGGTCAGGGCCTTGTCAGCAATCAACGTGACGGTGAACTCGGCCTTGAGTGCTGGCTCATCGAAACAAGGGAAGGCTCTGCGGGCGTCGGTAGGCTCCATCTGGCTGGTGGCCATGATACCCTTGGTGCCATCCGGCTTGTTGTAGTATGAGCGGTAGAAACCCGCCATTTTGTCGTTCAGCTCACCGACGAACTTGATCTCGAGGGTACCCTTGCCGCCTTTGGTGAGCTTCTCCTTGAACTCGAAGCTGTGCCATTGCTTCGACTCGTCGTAGGTGACGACTGGTTCGCCAAGGCTCTTCTCTTGTCCTTCGACAGAGAAGGACAATGAAGTGTTCTTGATCTCGATTTCATGGGTGTTCAAAGAGATAGTGTTGGAGTCCTCCGCCACGTCAAAGTCAATCTTCACCAAGCCATCGAACTTGAGCGTCTCGAAGTTGGGCTCAAGAGTAAGATCGTAGTGGCGCGGGACGACGTTGGTAGGCAGCTGTTCCCGAGGGTAGTTCAGCGTGCCAGCGCCGCCATGCTCTCCGTGTCTGCACATACTTCTCTTGTAGGAGCAGTATCGTGTAGCAGCGACGCGCTGAGGGTTCTGGAGTCGTGAGGTTCGTCGAGGAGGGGTAGCTCGGAGCACTGGCGAACGGGTCGCAAAGGCGTTGTGATTTCGTAGTTGGTAGGGACTGTTGAAGAAGTCAGGTCAATGGGTAACTCAAAGGTGGAAAGTGACCATATAAGAGTATAGGTGTACTTACATGCGCGTGACTGGTCTTGCCGTCGTGTTGACGATGCGTGGGGTTAGGTTGACCGTTCGTCTTGTTGCGAAACGGAACGCCATTGAGGAGGGGGAGGGGGCCAAAGCCGCAAAGGAACGAAAGCGGTCAGTCTGCTAGGCACCCAAGCTGTCTAAGGAAGGTACATGCAACAGAGACGTGGGGTCTAGCTGAGGGGAAGCTTCCAGTTCTTCTGTGCAAATCAATGCTCCAGTCTCAGAAGTGGAAGGCGCCGACGCAGGCCGCGCAGACCGCTGGCAAAGGTAGAAAACTCTCCCCACATCCCCATGCCTCAGGTCACTTTCTTTCCCCCAGCGCCGCCCGGACCCACGCCAGGCCGCTTCCACCCGATACGGCCCACTGCCGTAACCGTGCTTTCCTGGGAGGGCCGCCGGGTGTGCTGTCTGGGCTAGAAACACGGGATCTGCCTTATTTGCTGCCTTCCGGCCGGCCTTAGAACACGGATTTCAATCGGAGGTCTTGTGGGGGATGTAGCCGTCAATTTCCGGGCGTGAAGAATATTGAATTGCAACTATTAATATCACCACAGTGCATCCCACAAATCCTCCGCAGTCATCATAACTTAGTTGTCTGACTAGACACTTCCGCAGCTAATCAGAAAGACAGCAGAAATTACCTTGCAAAGGATGCACGTAGCAACAAAGCAAGACTGAAAACCCCCGATACTTACAGTTTAATTCGCAAGTTCTTCTTTGCTGAGCTAGCGGGATGATGTAGCACATCCTCAACTTTCGCCATTGGTTAGATCGATCCTAACATTGCTCCATCTGCACGAGTTGCAGCATTGAGTCCAAACTGTATCAACGGCCTACTTGCCGTGCGATTACAAAAGAACTTCTTTAGCGAAGGGCCTAAAATCTCCTCATGATCAAAGCAGGCCCCGGGAGGCAAGGGGACCTTGGGCACCGGAAGTAATGCTTGAAGAATTCATGTGCGCTTTCCGCTAGCTGTAGAGCCTTGCTTCAAGAGCAGGTTGACAAAAGCTGGGAAATTGTTTATCCTACTATGGAAGCCAGCGTTTATATGGGCCAACCGAGAGACTCGAAGAATGCCATATCCCAGTGATGTGCTATGTACGACTTATACTCGGGTGAAAGCGGACAAAGAGCTTGCAGGCACGCGGATGTGCCAAAGGCAAGCCGACTAACATGCTGTCTCCCCGGCCGAGAACCACCTCCCCGGGTCGAAGCCAGACGTCATTTCCACTTGAGCTCCAGACGATTAGGTTAAAATTACTCTAGGCAATATCAGCTGCCTACAGAATGACTTGCCTGCCGACCTTACACTTGTCTTACCCCGGCTTTACTAGACGGGGTGACGGGGTCGGGATCCATGATCGGGAAGAACCGCATTAGCACCTGGCTATTCCGAGCAACATCCTCGGGATAATCCATGGCGTACAGCCTGTCCCAGACCATTTGTGGAGTCAGAATGCCATTGTTTGATCTCAATTGCCAATTAGCAGCTCGTCGTTGGACCGGGGTGCCGGGGAAAAGACGTCTTGAAGATCGGGTGTCGGGACTTGTAGATTGTCGAAGACGCACTTTGACGCAAGCTCAGTCCCTAGAGTCCACAAGATCCCGATGATGGATGGCTAGAGAGCCGTTGTGCGAGAGACAATGGTTGTGGGCAGCCAATCAGACCACACGAGGATGCCAACAGCCGATGGGCAAGGAATCAAGACATGGCAACGGCCTTTGTTTTGTCCAGGACCGAGGTCAGTGACTGATTAGGGCACCTGGAAAAGACACAGAAAGCCATGGAATTTATGAGGCCGGACTCGGGGCTGGGGACGAGGGACGAGAATAGCGAGAACGGCCCAATGAAGAGAGACAAGGGCAGAAACGTGTTCCAGATCCCTCCCAGCTGCTGGCCGCTTTGGCAGGGCAGCGTTTTCATTGCTTGGTTTGTTGAGAGGTGGCCCTCACCAAAGATGCATTTATCGTGGTGAGGCGGTGCTAAGACCAGTACCAAAGATACTTTGAAACGAAGCTGGTTTGTGATATTCTTGGCCGTTTGGAGCTTGGGGCCCATGTAGCGCTCTAACAGGGCAGATGCCCCGCCTCGTCTCGAGAAAAAGCGATTGGGCACCCGTCCAAGATACCCCCAATCTTTTGAGCGATCCAATGGCGCCGTGGGCACCTGCCCCGAGCTAAGTTAAGCAACTTATGATACCTTACCGCAGGTACCTCACCTCACGTCAGGACTCAGGACTCCGGTGCAGCAGCAGGGCAGGTGGGGTTGCAAACGAAGGTACCTACCTTACCCTTACCTGAGGAGGGAAACGACCCCTCCAAAACAATCTGCTCCCACCGTGCTCCTGCTGTCCCTCACCCCCGCCTCTGTCGCCATCAACCTCTCTTCCATCACTTCAACCTCATCTTTTTTTCTTCATACGCAAGTAATTGCTGAGGTCTTACTCCGGCTCTATCAATCAAAACTCCACAAGTAAGTTGTCTCATCATACGTTTCCACTCCACTGCACCTGGCGATAGTCTTGGGGAAACACCTGGGAGCTTGCAAGCTGTGTCCGAAGAATCACCCCACCATGCCATCCCACCCTGAGGCAATTCTTGCTGTCCGGTCAAGGAGCGAGCACTTGCAAGCTTAGCAATTTCCCCCAATCGGTCCTATCACATTGTTGACTCACCCACTTGTCTCTTTTCTGCCTTCTGCCAATATAAAGCCTTTCCCTCCCCCCACGACCATCTACTGACCTCTCTCTCCCCTCTTCGTTAGGAACAAATCCATCACACGAGACAACATGGCCATCACCAAGATCCACGCTCGCTACGTCTACGACTCCCGTGGCAACCCCACCGTCGAGGTCGACGTCGTCACCGAGACCGGCCTTCACCGTGCCATCGTCCCCTCCGGTGCTTCCACTGGTACGTCGTCCTCGTCCTCGCATCCTACCCCTGCCGAGAGATAAAAAGTATCGAGAAGCTGATAGAACCCATTGAACAGGCCAGCACGAGGCCTGCGAGCTCCGCGATGGTGACAAGACCAAGTGGGCTGGCAAGGGTGTCACCAAGGCTGTTGAGAACGTCAACTCCGTCATTGCCCCTGCTCTGATCAAGGAGAACCTTGATGTCAAGGACCAGACCAAGGTCGACAAGTTCCTCATCGACCTCGATGGAACCCCCAACAAGACCAAGCTCGGAGCCAACGCCATTCTCGGTGTCTCCCTGGCTGTCGCCAAGGCCGGTGCTGCTGAGAAGGGTGTCCCCCTCTACGCCCACGTCTCCGACTTGGCCGGTACCAAGAAGCCCTACGTCCTTCCCGTTCCCTTCATGAACGTCCTCAACGGAGGGTAAGCGATTCCTTGCTACTACTATCATCCAACATTTGCTCACTCCATGCTACAGTTCCCACGCCGGTGGCCGCCTCGCTTTCCAGGAGTTCATGATTGTTCCTTCGTAAGTTGTCCCACGCATCGAGTCTCCTTTGGCCTGTTCTGTTCCGTCAGCTAACGATTGTGAAGTGCTGCCCCCTCCTTCTCCGAGGCCCTCCGCCAGGGTGCCGAGGTCTACCAGATCCTGAAGAGTCTGGCCAAGAAGAAGTACGGCCAGTCCGCCGGCAACGTCGGTGACGAGGGTGGTGTTGCCCCCGATATCCAGACTGCCGAGGAGGCCCTCGAGCTCATTGCTGAGGCCATTGAGAAGGCCGGATACACTGGCCAGATGAACATCGCCATGGACGTTGCCTCCAGCGAGTTCTACAAGGAGGACGCCAAGAAGTACGACCTCGACTTCAAGAACCCCGACAGCGACCCCACCAAGTGGATCACCTACGAGCAGCTTGCTCAGCAGTACTCTGACCTCGCCAAGAAGTACCCCATTGTCAGCATTGAGGACCCCTTCGCCGAGGACGACTGGGAGGCGTGGAGCTACTTCTACAAGACCCAGGATATCCAGATCGTTGGTGACGACTTGACTGTCACCAACCCCCTGCGCATCAAGAAGGCCATTGAGCTCAAGGCTGCCAACGCCCTTCTCCTCAAGGTCAACCAGATCGGTACCCTCACCGAGTCTATCCAGGCCGCCAAGGACTCCTACGCCGACGGCTGGGGTGTCATGGTTTCTCACCGCTCCGGTGAGACTGAGGATGTCACCATCTCCGACATTGTCGTCGGTATCCGGGCTGGCCAGATCAAGACCGGTGCCCCGGCCCGTTCCGAGCGCCTTGCCAAGCTCAACCAGATCCTCCGCATCGAGGAGGAGCTTGGTGAGAACGCCGTCTACGCCGGTGCCAACTTCCGCAAGTCTGTCAACCTGTAAAGTGGTTTAGCGATTACGAAGATGAGCTTTTGCGTTCCATAGTCCGATGGTAGTATTCTTCCCGGAAGACTCGGCAGGACTGGGGTGAAAAAAATTGATGAGAAACGTCTGGCGTATAGGAAATGCGCAATGGAGGGATGAATGGGAGCATCGATGATGAAATTCGTAGCTTACCGCACTTTATCCTAAAATGAAAAAAGAACAAATATCCCCCAATGTTGAGAGCTTCAGAAGGTGCCTGAGAGGTCACCCATGTTTGATGCCGGCGATTAGATCAAAAACAACCTTATTACAAAAGAGCATCGACCGCCCTACCGCGAGCTTTGGTGAGCTCCGATATATAAAGATAGCTCCATGAGCCCCGCCAATATTGACCGCGTGAAAGATAAGGTCCCTGGATGGCACTGTTTAGAGCAACTTTTTGGTAGGCGTCGTCGGCCAAGAGTGGCATTATGTAATACAAGCAGCTAAGCTCTGACGCTTGATGCGGCTAGCGCTCTTTTTCCTTTGACCCATCAGATTCAGAAGACGTGGAGCTGAACACACGCACACATACACACACCGCTCAGTGCACCGGTACTACACTCAGCTTGTGGCCCAATCACTTGGATTCAGGCTGGATGCTGCAAGGTGTGCCATGCCTGGGCTGAAGAACTGCAGCAAAGAGTAGCCTCGAATTGCCTCGGACGACAAAAGTTGGCAGCCCGAGAAAGGTGAGAGGCACCGTGCACGACTTCAAACTCCCGTCCCCCCTTCCTCAGTACCTAGGAGCTACGAGTACACAGCCAGCTAGAAGGCTTGCTAGCGCGAGTGCTGGTTTATCTCAGTCTTCTTCACCCATCAATTACGGATCCAGTTGATGTTGCAGCGTACATTGCAGAAGCTTAGGACAAGACTGTTCGGACACAGCCGGGCGTTTGCGCGACGCATGTGTCGTCATTCATGAGACTACACACACCAGACGAAGAAAGAGGAATTCCTGAACAACTTGCGAGCCAGCAATATTGCCGTGTCGCAACCTCGACACCGAGTCAGTGTGTACTACTTTCCTTCTCCTTTGTCCTTCTCTTCTGTAATGGCCTGGCGTATCTCCCCTCCGCTGCTTCTGCGGCTCTCTTCATCACTATACGCAGTATCCCGTACTAGACGCGGCCGATGCTTCACATGCAGCATGCCGCCGCTGCCGCTGCCGCTTCATGAATGCTAGTTCTGGCTTAGAATCACATTCCGCAACATTCCACAACTTGACGCGCGGGCGATGCTTTCTTTGCCTTAGTTACCCCAGACCACCTTGTCGGGCTCAGGCTCGCATTGAAAGCAGATGTGCTTCTACTTTTAGCGTCCCCATGCACCGTGGAGCCAAGAGCCGTGTCGTCCCCTGTCCTACTCCATCCGCATCCTATCTAATATCTACCTTACCGATATCTGCGTCATCTCTGCTATCTGTGAGGCGCCGACATTTGTTGTCTCTTGCGGTCACCCTGCTACCAACTCCCCACCACCACTCTAGGATTTGTTGTTGTTAGTGTTGCACCTTCCTGGCTGTAACTGACTCCCCGGCTATCTAGTATAACAACTTGAGCAGCCCACTCGGATTGTGACAGGCGAGAGCGTGGGGGCAGCCCCTAACTTGCCACTATCCACGTGGGTGTCTCGCGCCGTCTTCTCACCATCACCGCCAGTTTCTTCCGCCAAACATCCCATAGCTCACTTATTACGTACGACTGAGCTCTGTCTACACGTTAAATGTCCTATCGATCCTAGCTCCAGCCATATGTCACATCACCGTCGCCTACGCTACATTCTATCCCATCACAAAGGGAAGTTCGATACAGTCCGGCCATACTATGTCGGAGCGCACCCGACGGGCACGCCTCCAGCTTCCGGAAGAACGGCCGCTGCTGCAACGGAACCGTGCCAGTCACACCTCTGAGATTCAAGTTCCTCTCTATGGCTGCATGGTCAATCCTCACAGCCACTTACCAGTATACACGAATATTCACCGTATACGACGAGACATCATCTCCATTGTTGAAGACTATTTGAGTTTGGAACAACTTCGTGATGTGCGTATCAACATCGCCGTCGTCCGCCCACTTGTCGACAAATTGTATGAGCTCGACGACATCTCCATAGGTATGTTCAAAGTCATCCGTCTCTCTCACCTCGATCTTCAATCTCGTAGAAACCGAGATCGATCTCGATTGCGCGGAGTCGTTTTGTTGCAAATAACCTGACTGTCACAAGTGTATTGCCTGCTTGTGAACCGTGCT